AGAAGGAGCCTTCCTCCCCGGGGTCGGGCACCCCCCGAAGAATGGCCGCAGCCCCTCCTTCCCCAGCCGCTAGCCCCGAAAGGAAAGACCAGAAGCGAGGCGCGTGTGCGGACACCCCACGTCCTTGATTTGATTTACTTTCGAGTAAATGTAAAACCAACGCCTCCACGTCTTGGCTTGGGAAGGCTTTTTTTTTCCCCGAAACTCGGGGGGGAAAAAACCAGACCTCGACTACTGGGAACTTCAGATCGCCCTTGAATTGGTGATCAAATTGTATGGTCGAGTCTTCATTGGCTTCTGACCCTGAAGGTTGGGGGGGCATTCATTATGCGAACAGGTAGTTGGGGTTCAGCTGTCTTTTTGTGGGGAGCCGTCTCTGAGTGACCCTCCACCTGGATCTGACCATAATTTAAACCTAACGTTGAAAAATTCAACAAAAGGAAAGGAAACATGTAGGCATGCCTGAACGGGCGACTTAAGATAACGGAGATGGGTACACACTCGGTTCTCATCATGCCCAGTGACTATGATCAGGCCGGGAAACCCTCACCACGTTACTGAATCAAATGGAAACCTGGTAGAGGCTCAGACACCTGTTACAATTCAAAGATCCGCCTCAGAAATGCTACTGAGGCAAATATCTGTGTTTCTTAGGAACTTACAGATCTCACGATGCTTTCTTCCAAGAAAGGAAAGCAGCTGAGATTGGATCTAGGCCGGGGGATGTCTTAATCATTCACCCAGATTCTGATCTCCCAACGAGTTTATAAGCTGCTTTTAAAGTCATTTTTTACACGTTTATCTGATTTCTGAATAGTTAAGTTCCAGTGAATTTAAAGGCTTTCATTAAAAATGTGGGCGTATCTGCATGTGAGCGGATGCGCCTGGAGACGGATAGAGGAGCGGTGTCTAGGTTCCTAAGACCATCGAAAATATGTGTTTTCCCATGGTCTTAGGCGACCCCTGTGAATGGGTCGCGACCCACAGGTTGAGAACCACTGTTTTAAGGAATGTCTGGTCTGGGTCTCCTTAAGGTATCATCACAAATAACTGCATTTGAACATTTTGCTAAGAGAAGGAACACACTATAGAAACAGACTCAGAGAGAACAGGCAGACAGCTCTGATGGGGGTGGGGTGAGAAGGGTGGAGGGATTGAGCAAAAAAAGAGAATTCATGGACATGGACCAGGGTATGGGGGAATAAATGGTGGTGGAAAGTAAAAAAAAGGAATAAAATAAATTTGTGGGGTTTTTTTTTGCTTTAAAGTATCTTATCAGATCAATTGTAAAACTGAACATATGACAAGTTTATAACTTTAGTAATAACTGACACAGAAATTGATCTAAGAGGAATGAGAGAATTGCCCACAGCAAAGCAAGGCCATTGTGCCTTCCCCAGCACAAACCTGTTCTCCTGTACCTTCCTCCTTCCCTTCCTCACCTGGACAAATGCAAAATGGCAGCAAAGGTTAAATGGGAAGGTGACGGGAAAAAGCTTTGTAGAGGGCAAGAACAGGGAG